GCTCTGCTCCATGTCCAGCGTGTACCTGCGGAACACGTTGCACTACAACAATCATACGGTGTAAATTACACCTTATCTGTTAAAATCAATGGAACAAGAGTCAAAAACGAAAGAATAATTACGTGTAGAATATAAATGTGTTTCTTTAGATATGATTTGAGTACTAGAAACCGATTACAAGTTACTATTGACATTATTGTACCACATATCAAACAGTGTGGCAGTGACCAACGATGTGGCGGATGGCGAGTGGCGAGTGGCGAGAAGGCGCGACGCATAAATTATCACGTAACCGCTACCGAGGTTGTTTGCTCTCAGCACACAGATTGACCAACACTCAAATGTACTGTGTGCTGCTGCTCACAGGGGAATACAAACTCCGTCTGTTAGTGTGTTTGTGTTTCTTTTCGGATATACTTACAATATATTTACTGTTCCTATAGACATAGACTATTCTTGGATTCTTATTAAAACATGTCACTCAACGATGCCACAGATTTTTTATTAAGATTAAAATAAATGTAATGAGTAACGTGGGCGTCATCAGATTTAAAAAAATACTCCGTATGAGAGCTTATCAATGATATATAATTGCATATCTAGCATAGAGCATTTGCTGGCGACGTTTAACTTAACACGCATTATATGCCATTTTCATTAAAAAAAGTAGTACGTACGTAAATACTCGTGATGTATGAAGAAATCTTGTAAATCTGAGGGAGAATACGTAAAACAAATACAAAGAGGACAGCGCTATCGTAAATGTAATAAAATGGTTTTTGTTATAAAGGTTTTATTGTTTTAGGAGTTGGAGCATTATTAGATTTACATAGAAGATGAGAGGTCGTTGAACTTTGCCACTTGAAGCAGAACATAGCCCTGTCACATATACATTTTAACATAACGATTTAAAATTGCAATCTAGTCTTAATAATGTACCAACATATTTGATGGTCAGTTTGTGTCGTGAGGTCGCCAATGACACGTGTTTCATAAAATTCCGAAAATCAATATTCGGAAAGGGACCCTTACACCGAAGTTAAATTTCACCTTTAGGATTAATAGAAAACTAAAGTAAAAGTTTGTAATTGCCAATTAAATATACCACATCTTATCGTAAGCGAATATTTATTACCTATCCTTGAGATCGAACCAATGATTGTTTCAACTCTTGACAAAAGACGGGGGAATATCTTCTGTTTTAAATGTAAAATATATCCAAAAGTTAACTTAGTAAATAATAATCAATAAATAAACTACCAAAGCTACCAACAATAGTAGAAAATAGAAAAATACAATTGTGGGACGCCTGGCAACACCACGGGACACTCACTCAGCGACCGACATCAAAGAAAGAAGCAAAAACTGCGGACGGTCGTCCGCCGTTAAATCCAAAGCGTCTTAGTACGTATTCGTCCCTCTTCTACCAATTTATCCAAAGTAACGGAATTCAAAAACATCTATTAATTTATTAATAGTAGTATCTTCTAAAGATAGAACTATAAATTAAACGTAAGGCTTATCAATTCTTATTGCGATCTGCTTCAGAAAATGCCAGGTATAAACAGAAATGGTAACAGATTAATTGGGTTCTGCATAAAAACAAATATAAACTTCAGTACATTAGCAGACATTTAAAATAGTTGTTTCCTCTGAAATATTCAGTCAACAAAACCGTTGTTACCTCGAACATGTGGAAGTTTGAGAATTAATTTACATATTTAGAAGGGTAACGATGCAAGTGTAGACAAATTCATTAGAAAGAGAAATTACAATAAAATTATCTAAACAATTTTACCTTACAGGGCTCTAATCATAGCCTTAATAAGACAGACCTGTATACCATTAATTTTATGAAAATTTAAGAAACAAGCTAATTACAAAATTAAATAAATTACATTGTTATGCAGTGAATGTATAAATAAAAGTTCTCATTTCCGTTGAATTTGTCTCCGCGAGTTTGCTGTGGCGGCCGCGGCGGCCGCGGCGGCGCGCGAGGGAAACTATTCCAATACAACTAATTACATAGTTAATTGAATTCAATTAGTTCTAATATCGAACTCTCGATATATCGAGAATATTTTGTACTACAACCCTTCCTCACAGTCAGAGTATTATATCTTGTTTGTTTCGTGAGTTGGTCCGGACAAAATACAATAATAAATATATTGAAATAAGCGTTATTAGTATTAAATGGGCGGGGTCCGGCTCTGCCGTGCGCTGCTCGAGACGGATGGTAATAAAGAGCACAATAACTGTGAGTTACATAATGAATTATTGGTCCCGCTTCAAATCGAGACTTGAATTAAATTTTCAGCAAATTACGTCTCCATTACGAAACGTTCTACCCACGTTAGCCCACCTCCGCCCAACGAACATACTAGCCTATAAGTTTGTTTATTATTTACACGGTTTCCTTGAGTTAACATAAAAAGGAATATTATAGTTAAAAGCGTTTATTCAGCAATATTATTCAAACATACTTACTTCGAGACATGGTTCCTTGTAATGTATTGATTAGAACGGAGTTCTCCTTCATCAATATTGTTAGGAGTTTTCTGTAAATTTTTTACTAAACCATTTTCTAGCCTTATTTGGAAGTTGATAGTCAACAAAATTACGTAATAATGAATACTTAAAATTGTAAATGTATTACCTGAGCACGGAGAGCAGATGCACGGGGAAGTAGCAGACAGCAAACATGGCTACGACAGCCACCAGCATCTTTGCTGCCTTACGCCGCGACCGCAGCTGGCCTATAGGAACACATGCAGGCTGTTAACTTCGACATACATGAACCGAATTTAGCATATGTTTCTAAGTTGCTTAAGTTGTATGTAAGGGACGTATGCCTACATCTTCCAACATGTATGCAACATTTCGTATAAACCTAACAGCGAGTAGTCGCAATCAATTTCTCGTGGGACGTTGAAGGGACACATTTTGTGCGAAGGAAAGATAAAATCTCTAGCCATTATTTCCAATTCGTGAACGCGCCATCGTAGAATGATTTTCGATAATTTACGTCAATCGTCGTTTGCTGATGGTAATGGGGGATAGAAATATTATCTATACTTTTGTAACATGCCATTGGTTACCCGACGAACAGTAGAATAATGTTTTTTGTCAATATATTTAGTATTAGATGTTGACTGACTTTGTCCACGTTAAATCATACATTGTAAAAAATAAAATATGTTACTCACTGACAACGTAGTTTTTAATGATAAATAATTTTTGTGATCGGTTCAGTAGTTTTTGAGTTAATTCAATGCATACAAAAATACAAATCATCCTTCTTCATAGATGTTTAAATATACAAGTGTGTGTTTGTTTCCTGTGTTGTATGTGTATTGGCTTTACAAAATCATATTGCGTCTGCAATAATAATAATTATATCTATCTGCGACAACCCAATGCAGACCAACACATGCACACGCCACCCAACGCGTGTTTCCTCTCTACTTCCGACACGATTACAACTTCAAAGCAAATGCTGAGCTCTAATCTTACTAATATTATAAATGCGATAGTTTAGATGGATGGATGTTTGTTAGAGTTTGTAGCATAAACTGCTGAACGGATTTCGATGAAATTTGGCAAAGATATAGAGGATAGTCTGAAAGAACATATAGGCTACTTGCTTTTGTTTTTTTTTTAATTCCGCACGGACGGAGTCGCGAGCGAAAGCTAGTTGACACATAAATGTATCCAACTATTTAAATTTACGTACAAATTTACAAGAAATTACTTTTACTTTAAATTGACTGAGCAATACCGATATGTTTTATAATTAAAGCATTACGAGAAGGTATGGAAATGCTTCTGTTATTTTTGTGTACTTTAGCAGTATGTTTACGTAGACTAATGACTGCGCGGCAGACGGGGGGGGGG